CCCAAAGTAACCAGAATAATTATAGGATTCACACTTCCACACTTCAAAACTTATTACGAAAAAGGATACTGCAGGGCCATCCCTGGTGGTGCAACAGGTTAAAAGCACAGCACTATGAAGCTAGCCACAGCTCCTTCAGCTCAGAATTCCAGCCCTAGCCACATGGTGAAGCAGACCTCTTCTGTCTTTCCCACTGCTCTTCTCAGCAGTGTACTTCATCAGTCTGCCTGTCTGCTTACTCACCACTCTGTCTCTAGTGCATCCTCTCATTGCCCCTGTACCTCTGGTTACTTTATCTTGGGCTTCCTAGGCATTAATCTCATTTAATGGAGGAGGGCTCCATCCTGAAGATTTAAGTACTTCCCAAAGTCCCACCTATTAATTAATACTATCACCTTTAGGGGCTTAGGATACTAATATATGATGTGGGTGGGAGATAACATTCAGACCATCACAACTTGCATGTATTTATGTTTTTCACTTTTTTTTAAGCAATATTTTAACTGTACCTGTGCTCCAGTTCTGTTTGCATAAATAAATCTTTAAAAAACAAAAATTTATACTGCAGGGGCCTCCCTGGCGGCACAAGGGGTTAAGTCTCAGCACTACCAAGGTAGTGGCAGTGATTGCAGTATGAGTTCAAGCAACAGCTAGGGAGCTGACCCACATGACTCAACAGACCCCTCTCTCCTCTGTCTCCCACTGTTCCTTTCAGCAGTGTATTTCAGTAGACCCACCTGTTCTGCTCCCCACTGTCTCTGGTGAATCCTCTCACCCCACCCACCCCCACACTGGCTTACAGCCCAGCTCTTGTATGTACAAGTAAGTCTTAAAAAAAAGATTATTCTATGTGAAACAAGTCAGACATAAAAGGACAAAAAATATTTCGGGCACTCCTTAGTAGTGCGGCACTGTGAAGCAATCTGCAGCACAGTTTGATCTCAGATCTCCCCAGCCAGGAAGCTGACCCACATGGTGCAGACCTCTCCTCTCTCACCTGCTGCTCTCCTCAGCAGTGTATTTCTCTCAATCTGTCTGTTCTATTCCCCACTCTGTCTCTGGTGAATCATCTCACTGCCTGCACCTCTGGCCTGTATTCCAGTTCTTGCCTGCATAAATAAATAAATATTTTTTAAAAATGTGATTCCATGAGTAAGCAAATTCATAAAGACAGAAGTAAACAGAAGTTCTCTGGATCTGGGGAAGAAAGGAAATTGTGTTATTATTTAGAACAGATTGCATTTTCTAGAACTTTTTTTTTTTTTTTAAGATTTTATTTACACATCTAAGAACTGGGATCCAGGTCAGAAGTGCAGGGTGAGAGAGCATTCAGCAGAGAGTGGGGAACAGCCCAGGCAGATTGCTGAAGAACATTGCTAAGGCTAGCAGCAGCCACCACAGGAGAGGACTGGTACTTTGTGGGTCACCTCCCTGGCCAGGATTTGAACTCCTGCTACAGCGGCTGCAGAGTGCGTCACAGCGCTGTGCTTTAACTCCTTGTGCCACCAGGGAGGTCCCATTTTCTAGAATTTTATGTAAATGGAAACTTAAATATACATATTTTTAAAGATTTATTTATTCATACTGAACTGTGGTACAGGCCAGAGGTGCAGGGGTGGTGAGAGAATTCACCAGAGTAGGGAGCAAAGCAGGCAGAATGACAAAGAAAACTGCTGAGGGGGTCAGTAGGCGGGTCAGGAGAGGTCTGCTGCGCCAGGTGGATACCTCCGGGGTGGTGGGGATTGAACTCATGCTGAAGTGGCTTTATCTTCTTAGTGCTGTGTTTTAACCCGCTGCGCCACCAGGGAGGGCTAAGATAAAATTATTTTACTCCTTTTGGTCAACATCTTTCACTGAGGATAAATATTAAGATTCATCTGTTGTACTAAGTTCTTCCTACATTATTAAATAGTATTCCATAGTATACATTTTATAATTTGTTTATACCTTTTGATAATATAAACGTCCGTTTATATTAGCCATTTTCCAAAATCTCACATATCTATGTACTGGAGTTCTAATTAGTCATCTTCATTTACACCTGGTGTGGTCAGTCTTTAAAACTGCAGTCTTTCAGAGCTAAAAAGACACTTCTCCGAAGAGGAAATGCAGACGGCCAAAAAGCATGTGAAAATAAATTCAACGTCACTAGTAGTAAGGGAAATGCAAATTAAACCCACAATGAGATACCACCTCACTCCAGTGAGAATGACACATCTTAAAACAAATAGCAACAACAAATGTTGGTGAGGATGTGGTGAAAAAGGAACTCTCCTGCACTGCTGGTGAGAACCATTATGGAAAACTGTGTGGAGGTTTCTCAAACTGCTAAAAATGGAGCTTCCATATGATCCAGCAATCCCACTCTTAAGTAACTACCTAAAAGACATAAAAATACTGATTCAAAAAGACACCTGCACCCCCATGTTTATTGCTGCTTTATTTATAATAGGAAAGACATAGAATTAACCCAAATGCCCAAAAGTGGATGACTGGATTAAAAAGATGTGGTACATATACACAATGGAATATTACTCAGCAATCAAAAGAGATAAACACATGCCTTTTGCAGCAACATGGATGGAGCTGGAAGGGATCATGATTAGTGGAATAAGCAAGATGGTTTCACTCATAGCAGGAGCATAAAGAATGGGGGGGGGGAGATAATAATGAACAACTATATTACCTATATACCAGAGATATTTTATGGGGGTAGAGTGGGGAATCGGATCAAAAATAGGGGAGGCAGGAGTGCATGGGACTATGGTGATGGCACACAGGTAACTTGGTGATGGAAGTCCACAGGGGATTACAACTGAGATGGAAAAGGGCACAAAATGATGGGAAAATGAACTATTGTAAAAAAAAAAAAAAAAAAAAAAAAAACCCAAAACTACAGTCTTTTTCAGTGTAATTGCTTTCATTTGTATTTCCCAAATGATTAATGAAGCCTTTTGCCATCCATCCATTCATCCACCCGCCCACCCACCCACCCACACACATATCTTCTTTAGTGGGGTGTCTGGTCACAGCTTTTGGGATTGTATTTCTATCACATTATCAACTAATATATATACTCTAAATGCTGGTTCTTTATCAAGGATAAGATTTGCAAATATTTTCTGTGGCCTATTTTCATTCAGGTCCTTGAAGCCTATTTTACTGAGCTGAGTTCCTCACTGGTTGCTGGCTAAGGCTATCTTCAACGCCATACTATGTGAGACTCCACAGACAACTCACAACATGGCAGACAGCTGCACACAGTCAAGTGAGAGATTGTATTTCTGTATGAGTTAGACAAATTTTTTCATAATCTCATCTTAAAAGTGACATCACTTTTGCTGTATTCTGTAACTTAGAAGTCACACAAATGCATTAATGCCAGATGTGGATCAGAACCATTTAAAAGCTGCATTCAAAAGATACACAGATGTCTTTTATAAACACTATCTTCAAAATTCTTTGTTTTCAGTACTTTAGTTCCTTTTTTTTTTTTTTTAGCTTTCTTGAATTGCCACTGGATGTTGCCATGTATACTAGTATCCTTCTAATCTTTAACTTTTCAATTTCTTTGCTTTCTTAATGAGTGGTCCCAATTTAGTGTTCTATTTTACTAATTTAATCAATGGAAACCAAGCTACCATAGAGTTCATTCTTTCAATTGGTATATGTATTTCCACAAAACAGTTATATTTAGTTATGAGTTTGGTTATTTATTGGTAGTATCTCTTATCTCTTTAATATTCATCATACCATCTTTGAATTACTATTTTTCCTCTCATATATTCTGTCTCAGATGATACTGACATTTTCCTTGGAGGCAGTTTTTGGGTAGCCAACTACTCAGGCTTATGAATTCAAGTTCTTGTATACTGAACAAAAGTCAAAGACCAAATGCCCATTGTTTAGGAAGGGAGGGGACAAACCTTGGAATAGAAAGTTCTAGGAATCCTAAGACCACTTCAATTGCTCCCATTCATTATTTTCCCACCCAATTATACCTTATTTCAGAGTCTTTACTCTAAACCTGGGTTAAGTATATGAAGAAACAGTTCTTGCAAGTGGCAGTCTCCCCAGATTCCAGTTCACTAACTGATGTTTTCAAAGGGAAAAGGTAAAATGAATGAAAGGTCTAAAGCAGGTAGGTCACTTCCCAACAATTTTTACTGACTCACTTTTCAGGCATTTTCACTGCCCTCATATATATGTTGTGGACACGTGAACCAGCAGTATGGCCCTGTGATGGTCATTTATATAGTAAGATGGACAGCTATGGTTTATCACATGGCAGGGCCTGGTCCTTTTCTGTGAAGAGCCAGAAAATATTTTAGATTTGTTTGTTTGTTTGGATAAGGTATGTCAGAACTACTTAACTCTGCCTTGGTAGTATAAGTACGGCTGAGTTTCAGAAAAAATTATAAAAAGTTTGTAGGAGACTGTATATGGTGAGAGAATAATAGTCTGCTGTCTCCTGCAAGGTCAAGGTTGGGTTAGGAATAAGGAGGCAAAAGTACAATTTAAATTACTTTTCTAAATACATCCTATTATCGCCTCTCCAACAGGAATGGTCTTTTAAGCTACAACTACTCTCTTGTCATCCCCAGTAGTTAAAAAGAGTCTTACTCACTAGGGGCTTCTCACTTTTGTTGTGTAGTTTTCTGGAATCCATGTTCCCTTCCCTTTATGTTTCTTGGGAGGTGTAAGTACATGTTAATGCTCCATTTTGGCAGAATGGGAAACGAAGTCAATAATAGTTTTCTTTATATATTTTTGGCAGAAAAACTGTGTTTATTAAAAAAAAAAAAAATCGGGCCTTAAACATTCCTTACTGCTTCTGTTGAAGAACCCCAGCGGCAAATAAGTAGATCAATATTAAAAGCAGCTAAATCAGCTGTTGTCTTAAAGATACAGATGAAGAACCAAATACTACAGTGTAGGAAGACAATCATTCCCATGTCAAAAATCACAACTGCTTCCAAATAAAGAGTATGACCCATCTGCCATATTGAATTGATATTTATTTCAGGTCATGCCATGTCAAAATAAAACAAAAGAGTCAACCCTTGCCTTTAACAATAGTATTGTATTATAAAAGCACTTTACAACTCCACCCCATCTTTGAGAATAAGTTACTGGTATGTGGGCTAATGATTATCTGAAAGCATTTGTCTGTTCAGACCCATAATCCAAGTGCTCTCTGAATATTACAAGGTGACAGTGAGTGAGTAGTGGAGAAGGAAGAGGAAAGAAAGGGGAATAAAGTTCTCCTGGTTAAGGATTTTGTTGTAGTGAGGAAGAGGAAGTGTGAAGATATTTTTGTCGTCATTTCATCTTTATACTGTGTTAAGTAATGCTTACAACATAAACTCGGCAGGTTTTTCCTGAGCTGTAACTCAGAAATGCTCTTCCTGTAAACAATGTATTTACAAATGTGTTTATTAACTTACACAGCAATCTCACAATAACTAGTAAAGATTAAGAGGGTGCACTCCTAGTATATTTGTTTGCAGTGTTTTAAGGGAAATATATATTGCCATGGTGATGAAGCTCTAAGTAGACTGAACATCTAAAAATTAAAGTAATTCTTTAAAAAAGGCAAAGAAATAAATATCACCAAAGACAAAAGATTAATTGTAGCTTAAATATAAAACTAAATCACTAGTTAATTAACCAAACTATACAGATCTAATAAAAAGCAAAACCAGCCTGAAAGAACCAACATTTAAAAAATGCTTAAAAATAAGGCATAAATCTGCGTAATAATGAGTTTTATTTTTATTCTTTCCTCTTCTAGATATGCTTTTCTATATCTGCCTCTAGGGACTTTTAAGAAAACTGTTTCTATTTTCAATATGATTTCAAATGTCCTGAGCAAAGTATCTGTTATTCTGCTGAGGGTTCTTTTGTTGGTAAGCTATCGATACTGTTTTTACTGATTTCAGTAGTTTTGATTAAGGTGCAAAATTTAAATTCTTTCACTGGTTCTTTAAGGAATTTGATTTCTACAGTATCCTTCCTTGGAGAGCATTAAAAAAGAAAGAAAACCCAAGAGAAATCTATTGCTTAAAAGTTGGGAAAAAAAAAAACAAACTACCTTTACAATTTTAAAATCTGGGAGAAAGAAATGAAGAATATTAAAAACCTGTCTGTAACACTTATTTTTCTCCCAGATGCTAATGAAGCACATATGAAAGTGATTTGTTTTGGTCAGAATACATTTTAGGTTCATTTAGTTTTAAGTACTCAGAATGTTCACTAGGACTCACTTTGAAGATGCACCAGAACCCTTATTCAAGCACTGCCTACCATGATCACTGAAGTCTGACTTCAAACAAGGCCTCAGTAATGTATATTAGTGCTCAAGAATAATTTAGGACATCTTGGCTCAAAGGCCTAGAGTGCTATCATTATAATTGAAGGATAACCCCAATGGGCTTGGTCTGACGGCTTTGCTACCTCTTGTTTGTTTTGAGGAAAAGATAGGGAATAGGTAAGGAAGAGGTGAGAAAAGAAGGGAGAGAGAATCAGCAGGTAGGCAGGTGCTGCTCTGAACAACTGCTTTTAACCAAGTTAAGCACTGAAGAAATTTCCATTATTTTGAAGCACATTACCATAACATTAAAAAGGAAAAAAATGTTAAGAAAATGTATCTAATTTTTAAAGTTACCACTGGAATATGCTGGAGTATTTTGGCTTTTTGTAAAATATAAATAATGAAGACACTGACTTTTTTGTGCTTGTGAAGCTAATAGATCATCTCCACGAGACAGGCAGCAATGATGAATTGCAATACGTTATTACTGAAGGGAAAGGGTTCAAGCCAATATTCACACTGCAGTCAATGAAAGAGTAAGGGAGCCAAAGCAGTGAGCTTCTGGAGAAAGGTCGAAGATGCTACGGGGGATTAGCAGGAACAGCCTCCTTCACTGACTGGTGGCTCCTGAGGCTTTTCCAGTTTTATGTCAATCACTGAAACAAAAGTTAAGGATCCAAAACTGGGAAAACAGAATTTCAATTCTGCTTAACACAGACATCTCTTACAAGTAAGTCCCTTCCATTTTTATTTGGCCTCAGAGTACACAGCCACTATTAACCACTATTTATAGTTTATATAAATATCATCCACCACATGAGGTATGCAAGCGAAACAGACTTGCTTCTATCTATTCTGTGCAGCAATGTCAGAATAAGGTTAAGTCCTACTCATAGGAGTCTAACCTGAAGAAATTATTCTACAGATGCAAGAAAACATATAAAGATGATGTTCTTTGTGGAGTTAATAAAATCTGAAAATATCCTATATAAGTTTTAATAGGAAAGGAATTTAATAAATGATGGGACTTCAACTCTGTAGAACACATTATGCTATTAAAAGTAATAAAGTCACAGAAAGCATAAAACACTTAGAAGCAGAAAAAGCTGAATACAAAGTGCTATGAATTCTATGGTTTAATACAAGTATCAGCATATACAAAAACAAAATATAAATATAAAACAATAATATAAAAGTTCAAGATCCTTTGAAATAGCTAATAGTAGATGGACTGCATTATGTCCTATTTCTGAAAATAGAAGCAACAATAAAGCTCGTGAGTGAATTCTTTCCTGCTTGTACCAAGTAGAAAACCTGAATGTTAGAAAAAGTAGGGAAAGAAAATATATACACTGTGGGGAAAAAGCACAGAGCCAATGGGACTCAAAAATAAGAAGCAGAAGACTGGGATCCTGCTCATTAAAAATCAAGCAAGCACACAAGCAAACAAAATACTCTCTGATTAATTGTAGTGAACAGAAGGGTGCACTTTGGTAACTAGATCTCATTTGAGACAGAAAACCTAGGCACTTCCATAGAGGCCCCAGAATCATCAATTCCTGGCTGTAAAGGGCAATGACATTCTTTAACCAACCCAGGTTGGTCTTTAAAGACTATTGCTAACAATAAAATTTTCTGATATAAAGGATACTGTCTTCTCTGCTTCTGTCCTGTGTGCTTTCCATTCCAGGCAAAGCTGCTGCAACACGTCGAAAGAGCTGTGAAAAAGAAAGAATATGATTATTGGTAAGGGAAAGTTAGCAAATGGTAATAAGGCAGATACCACAGAATGGTGAGTTAAAAGGTATGGTTCTGGGTTATTCCTAAATTAGATCTTAGCATCAAGAAAACATAATAATGTTTATTCATTCTACAGACATTAGCTGACTGGTCATCTTTTGATTCTTCAGTTTTCTCATCTGTAAAATGGACTTGAAATCATAGTATATTTCACTGACTGGATTATTGTGAGAAGAGAAGCAATTACGTAACTGCTGAGGACTGATATAATATGTAAAGTCTTTAATAAATAGTAGCTCTATTTCTACCTAAGACTAGTTATAATAACTCATTATCTTATGGCTAGAGGAAAGTTTTGCCAAATGTTCTCAAATTCTGCAGTAAATTCCGGGACTACAGAAAAATGCCAATGGGTACAAGCTTCACTTTTAAGAAGGAACTATCTAAAACTGGTAGGTGTACAGATTGAGAGAGACCTTTTGAAAGTCTTAGAGCAGGAATTTTCTTACTCAGAATAATCTAGAATTCTTCATTAAAAACTCATTGCTTTCTTCTGACACAAAATAAGTTATTAAACTGCTTACCATTTCAGCATCTATAATCAAAGTTTATTATAGACTATAGCTTAGAAAGTGAAATTTATATCTTGTGGGAGAGGCATAGGGAAATTTCTATGAAAATGGAATGAAATGATATTTACAAGTGTAAGGCTTCTTAAAAAGTTAAAATAGGCCCTCCCTGGTGGCGCAGCAGGTTAAAGCACAGCACTAAAAAGTCAAAGCCACTTCCACATGAGTTCAATCCCCGCCTGCCCCGGAGGTGATCACATGGCGTGGCAGACCTCTCCTGACCCGCCCGCTGCTCCCCTCAGCAGTGTACTTCGTTGATCTGCCTGTTC